GAGTGGGCATGTTTAGGAGAGTAACAGTGAGTACCTTTACATCCTGCCAGGAAATGGATAATGTGTGTTAAATATTTCAAGGTATCTACTAAAAGAATAGAAATGCAACTTAGAGGTTCCCAGACAAGTGGGAGTGAGGGTGTGGGATAGGACTTTTAAATCCAACAAAAGGCAGGAAAAGAGGTAGGGAGAATTGGTAGAAATAAGTTCAAATATATCAGTAATTATAATAAATGTAAGTGGATTAAGGCTATCTATCAAAAGACATAAATCACAGCTTCAAGTATTCTTAAGGTCCCTCAATTTTGGTGATGTGATGTACCAAAAAACAGTAATGGTTTTTATTATAGCAAATGGCAGGATTTAAACTGATAAGCATGCTGACCCTATATCACTGTGGAGAACCTCAACCTTCTTCATGAAGCTTCACGCACAGGTAGGTACTCTATGATCTTCCTGATCTATCATATTTTTAATGCATGGTCATCTTGATCATGGAATGTTCTTCCATGCTTGATGAAATTTTTCTATTTTTCCATTGCATGCCAACTTCTTCATTAGTAGGGATATAGCTAAGCCGTTTTAACAAAAAGACACAATCATCAAAGTGGATGAGTCTCTCTGCTATAACAGTGCTAATGTAAGGGACCAGAGCAGGTTTGCTATGACTGGACATTTGAGGACAGAGATTCCAAGTCTGCTCCATCATCCCTTAGACACTGTCCAGACAAACATATTAGGGTAGTTCCTCAGTGTGGCTGTGTAACGTGACCTTTGTAGCAGGCACAAGGTATAGATATATTTGATGGTCTGAACTGAATAACCTGCTTCTATTTCTAGTTTTCGAGAATTCTTTTTTTTTCCTTAAAAGGATATTCAATTGTGTCAAATGCATCTGTTGAGATAATCGTGATCTTCTGTTTATATCTATCTGTTATTGTGGTGAATTCCATGGATTTTGAAGTGTTAATCTAACATTATGTTTTTGAAATAAACTCCATATGGTCATGATTTTTTTTTAATAGAAAAGTAGATCAAATTCTCTACTATGTTATTTTAGGGTTTTTGTATTTAAATTTCTGAAATTAGCCTGTCATTTTCTTCTTATTTTTTTTTTTTTTTGGTCAAATTTTGGTCAAGTTTATGCTGGCCTCATAAAACAATTTGTGAAGTAACTTTCTTCTCTATTTTCTGAAAAAAAGAAAATGATTTGTAATACTTCTTCCTTAAAATGGTTGAAATATTTCACCTGTAAAACATTTTAACATGAAGTTTTCTTTTCAGTACTGAGGATTGAGCCCAGGGGCACTTTACCACTGAGCTATATCCATAGCCCTTTTAAAAACTTGCAAAATTGCCCAGGCTGGCCTCAAACTTGTGATCTTCCTGCTTTCCGAGTAACTGCGATTACTGGTATCAGTTGCTGTGTCCAGCTTCTGAAGTTTTCATTAATAAACTCAATTTCTTTAACAGATATATTTTATACATACACATATTATGCATTCATATTTTGTATTTATTTTTGTATTCATTTTAATAATATTTTTTAAAAAACATTTGCCAGATGTCACCGGTGAAATGTGCATAAACCAAATGGGCATTCAAGCCATTGGGTAGGAAAATCTGTTATCTGGGAACTCAAGCGGCACTCCTGCTGATTTGAGACTGCCCAGTTCATGTGATATCCTACTTAGCTCTGTCAGGTTCAGCACTGCACTGGAGCTGGGGTGACCCACTGGAGCCACACAGACACACAGCCTCTCAGAGATGGGTGTGCCTTCCAAGATGTCAATCAACGTGTTGACTGCAAGAACCCATGAAGCAAGACTCCACCTGCTGAAATCTAAACCCTGCCTTTGTTGTACTCTCCCTTAAATAAAGGACCATTTTCTACTTATTGGGTTCTAGCTCCCGCCAGGGCTGGAGGACCTATCAGATGCTCTGCTTCCTCTTTATCTAATTTCTGGCTCTGTCTCTTATTTCTTTTTTTAAAATTAATTATTTTATTTAGGCATATATGATAGCAGAATGCATTTTGATTCATTGTACACAATCGCAGCACAACTTTACATTTCTATGGTTGTACATGATGTAGTGTAATACTATAAATTAATATGGTAATGATGTCCATCTCTTCCACTATCTTTCCTGCCCCCATGCACCCTCTCTACCTTCTCTACCCTTTGCCCAAAGTTCCTCCATTTTTCCCATGCTTCCCCTAGTCTTTGTTAAGCATCAGCCTCCATTTATCAGAACATTTGGCCTTTGGTTTTGGGGGAATTGGCTTACTTCCCTTAGCATGATTATTCTCCAACTCCATCCATTTACCTGCAAATGCCATGATTTTATTCTCTTTTAATGCTGAGTAATATCCCTTACTAAACATTTCAGATGTTCTTTTTCTCAGGTGGCTCACAACCTTCTGAACCGGAATCTACCCTGGCAGGGTGCTGGCCACCCCGTGATAAACATTCATATATAAAATGTCTAAGTAGACAAATTTGGGGGGTATAAGATTGTTTAATACAGTCTCGTATTTGTAACAGCTTAATTGAGATATAGGTAACATGCAATACAGTTAACCCACATAAAATGTATAATCAATGGTTTTTAGTGTATACATGGATTCATACAACCATCAATCACCACAGTCAATTTTAGAACATCTCATCACTCTCTCTCCCCAAAAGAATCCGTTCCAATTAACAATCACTCCCTGTTTTTCTCTAAGCCACTCCTGCGGCATCCAATAATCTACTTTGTCTCCAAAGATTTGCCCATTCTAGACATTTCATATAAATGGAACTATACAGTATGTGGTCTTTCATGACCATCTTTCATTTAGAATTATGTTTTTAAGATTTGCCCATGTTTTAGCATGTATCAATATTTCATTCTTTTTAAAATATTTTTTATTGTTGTCAATGAACTTTTATTTATATGCAGTGCTGAGCATCAAACCCAGTGCTTCACACATGCTAGGCAAGCGCTCTACCACTGAGCCACAAACCCAGCCCCACTTCATTCCTTTTTAATGACTGAATAACATTGCATTGTAACTTGGCTACACAATATTTCGTTTATTTACTCATTGGTTGGTGGACATCTGGGTTGTTTCCATTTGGGGGGCATTGTGAATAATGCTGTAATGAATTTTCAGGTACAAGTTTTCCTGTACATATGTTTTCATTTTCCTTGAGTATACATGCAGGAGTGGGATTGCTGGGTCAAATGATAACTGTCTGACCTACTGAGACACTTCCAGCCATTTTCCAAAGTGGTTGCACCCATTTACATTCTCATCAGCGTTGTTGGAGTATTCTAATTTCTCCATAGCCTTGGCAATACATGTTAGTCTTATTTTCCACATTTTTATTGATACATATTTGTACATGACACAATAATAAAAATTTGACCACTTATCACTCCTCAGCACTTCTTCCTCCCTCCCCACCTCCATTTCCTCTACTGATCTCCCTTTGATGTTCATGAGATCTGCCCCCACCTTTCTTTTCCTTTTTCCTCTCTAGTTTCTATCTATGAGAGAAAACAAATAACATTTGACCTTCTGAGTTTGACTTATTTCACTTAATGTAATGGTCTCCAGTTTCATTTATTTTCCTGCAAATGACACAATTTCTTTTTTTGGGAAGAGGGTACTGGAGAGTGAACCAGGGGCACTTAATCACTGAGCCACATCCCCAGCCTTTTTTATATTTTATTTTGACACAGGGTCTTGCTAAGTTGCTTAGGGCCTCACTAAGTTGCTGAGGCTGACTTTGAACTTATGATCCTCCAGCCTCCCAAGCCAGTGGGATTACAGGCATGTGCAACTAACTGTGCCTGGTTACTTTTATTTTTCTTTATGGCTGAATAAAATTCCATTGTGTATGTGTAGCATATTTACTTTATCCATTCATCCATTGATGATCACCTAAGCTGGTTCCATAGTTTAGCTATTGTAAATTGTGCTGCTATAAACATGGGTATGCATATATCACTGTAGTATGATGACCCAAATTTGTTAGAAAAAATACCTGGGAGTGGTATCACTGAGTCTTATAGTGGTTCTGTGCCTAATCTTTTGAGGATCCTCTATGCGGACTTCTATAATGATTATACTAATCTGCAATGTAAGAATGTAAAAGTGTTCCTTTTTCTCCATATCTTCTCCAGCATTTATTATTTGTGTTTTTGATGACTGCCATTCTGACTGGTATGAGATGAAATCTCTGTTGTTTCGATTTGCATTTCCCTAATTACTAATGATGTTGAACATTTTTTCATATTTGTTGGACATTCATATTTCTTCTTTTGAGAAGTGTCTGTTTAATTCCTTTACCCAGAGATCCTATCTCAAAAAAAAAAAAAATACAGGGAGCAGGGAATGGTGGCTGGGGTTGTGGCTCAATAGTTAAGTGCTCTTAGGTTCAATCCCTGGTACAAAACAAAAAACAAAAAAACTCCTTTGCCCATTTATTAATTTAGTTATTTTACTTTTTGCTCTAAAGTTCTTTTGAGTTTTTCATATATTCTAGATATTAATCCTCTGACAGAAGAGCAGCTAGCAAAGATTTTCTGATTCTGTAGGTTCTGCACACTCCAAATTGTTTCCTTTGCCATCCCATTGATTAACTTTTAGCATTATTTCCTGAGCTTTAGGGGTCCTATTGAGAAAGTCATTGTTTAATGTCTATATGCTGGAGTGTTGATCCTGCATTTTCTTTTGGGAGTTGCATAGTTTCTGGTCTAATTCCTAAGTCTTTGATCCATTTTAAGTTTTGTGCAGGTGAGAGATAAGCTCCTAGTTTCACTTTTCTACATGTGGATAACTAGTTTTCCCAGCACCATTGTTAAAAAGGCTGTCCCCAATGTATGTTTTTGGCACACCTGTCAAGGATCAGATGACCACAGATGTTTGTCTTCTATTCTATTGGTTTATGTGTCTGCTTTTATGCCAGTATCATGTAGTTTTTGTTGCTATAGCTCTGTAGTATGATTTGAAGTCAGGTATTGTGATGCCTCCAGCATCACTTTTTTGGCTATTCTGTGTGCTTCATTCTTCTAAATGAATTTTAGGATTGTTTTATCCTAGTTCGTGAAAAAATGTCATTAGTATTTTGATAGGGAGATGTTACTGTCTTTTAAGATTTTAAATTTAAACCATTTTAATTGGTGTGAAGTGATATGTCATTGTGGTTTTGGTTTGCATTTTCCAATGGCTAATGATGTCAAATATCTTTTCATGTACTTATTAGCCATTTTTATGTCTTCTTTAGAAAAATGTCTATTGAGATCCTTTACTAGCTTTTAAATTTTGTTCTTTTTTATTGAAAAGTTGTGAGAATTCTTTATATGTTGTTTACATGTCTTTGATCAGATATATGATAAAGATGGGGCATCTTTCCCCTTTCTTGATGTTGTCCTTATAAGCCTCTTATCTTTTTAATGTTTATAAAATGTATAGCAATGTCTACTTTTACATTCCTGCTATTAGAAATTTCTATACTTGCTCTTTTATCTTGATTAGTCTTATTAGAAATTTACTGATTTCATTAATCTTCTCAAAGAACCAATATTTACTTTTATTGAGTTTTCCGTTATTTAGATAAGTTTTCTCTGTGATTTCTGCTTACATCAGTTATGGTCATTGCTTTTAATATCTAGAACTTAATTTGCTCTTCTTTTTCCAGTTGTCAAGATGGAAGCTTAGATCCATAGTTTCAATCCTCCTACAGTTTTATGCATTTAGCACTATAAATTTCCCTCAAAGCATTGTTTTTGCTACCTCAAACAAGTGTGGATTGTTGTATGTCATTATTTCTTATTTAAATAGTTTATAATTTCCACTTGGATTTCTTCTCTAACCTACAGGGCATGGCAATACTGAAGTTCAAACCCAGAAATGCTCTACTACTGGGTACAACCACTGCTACCAAGCTACATCCCCAGCCCTTTTTGTTTTTGAGATAGGCTCTCACTAAATTGCGTAGTTTGGCTTTAAACTTTCAATACTCCTGCCTCAGCCTCCTAAATTGCTGGAATTACAGGCATACACCACCATACCTAGTGTTAATCATTAGTATTATAATAATCCTAGGAATTACAAGTTGCCTATTGCCTTATCCATAAAGATATGACAGTTTCCTTCAAGTGAAAATATATGTATATTCCTATTTTCCAAATCTTTGGTGTCCCCATACCATATGATTATATTTTTTACTTCAAATAATAATAAATCTCCTCAGCATTTGTTCATGGAAGGATTGGGTAACCATAAGGACTAAAGAAGATGACACTCTGCCCCTTATCAATATGTACAACATAGTTAGAAAATAAAATATCTTGTACCTTGAGAAAAGCAGCTAACAAAAACAGGATCACCGTCATTCATTTTCCCCAAATAAAAGAGGCCTTAAATTTCGTAAACTTATCAGTTACTGACTCCTTAATTAAAGCATTTTTATTACCAACTTTTGCAATGCTGATAGATGAAGCTATGCTAGTGATGACTAGGAAGGCAGGTGAGAAAACTGTCTTTTCTACCACTTCCACAGACAGACAACTGCAAACATAGTAATGTTACCGGTTTGTGTGTGTTATTTATTTTTTGATGAGCTAGTCCTTTTAAAACTTGGAACTGCCAGGCATGGTGGCACATGCCTCTAATCCCAGCGACTCAGGAGGCTAAGGATTAGAGGTTGTCAGTTCTAGGCTAGGCCAGCCTCAGCAATTTAGTGAAGCCCTAAGGAATTTAGCAACTCTGTCTCAAAATAAAAAAAAAAGGGCTGGGATGTGGCTTAGTGGTTAAGCACTCCTAAGTTCAATCCCTGATACCAAAACAAAACCAAAAACCTGTAATTCTAGTTACTCAGAGGCTGAGGCAGAAGTATTACAAGTTCAAGGAGGATCACAAGTTCAAGACCAGCCTGGGCAATTTGACTGTCTCAGAATAAAAAA